TCTCTGGCCGTTACCTGCAGTTGCCGACAGCGCTACAACCCCTTCTGTCATCTAATGGATATGGCGTGATCAACCCCCACTCCAAATGGACCATTTGTACGGTACCCAGCTACTTTCTTCCCCTTTTTCTTACCTTATACATTTTGGTACGGTAACATTTATGTACTAAAAACCCCTTTTCTTGTAATATACCTAGATGCCCGTCTGATGTGGTATCTAACAACTCTGTCCAGTATTACTAACCTGGAAAGCTATTCTAGGGGGTCTAGTTGACCTCATGTGTGCTAACCTCGACGTTTTCGGCTACTACATCGGTTATCAGTTTATTTGGGCAGTTTCTAAGTGTTGGTCGTACCGTTCATTCGTGTTTCCCTGCATGCTTACTATAGTTGTCTGGAGGAGCAGCAGGAAAAGATGAATAAACGTCAGAAGCAAGGAACCTTCAGTTGGTGGACTGTTTAGTAAGATATAATATAACTGTGCATGGGCTTAATATGGCTTCAATATAGTCTTATGCACAACTAGTATGTAGGGTTTTATCAAATTTATGTTAATATTAGCTTCATAAAGGATAATTAGTGTCAGTAAGTTAGCTGGTGGAAACGAGAAAGGGGGAAAAGATAGGATATCCCTATTGGTTCTATGCTTATGAATGATGTCGTCTATCTCAAAATCAATTTTTTAGTGTTATGCTCCGGTGTTATTGAGGTGACTGACTACACCAGAGCCATTTAAACCAAATTATATATCAAAGAATTGATTTGAAAAATACCCTTTCTTATTCAAAAACAAATGTGCATTGTTATTTGAGAGAATTTCTCAGTTTTTGTCTTGAATTCTGCAATGTTTCGACCTTTACGAAAAGAACATTGGAGGCCATTCCAGAGAGTCGCATATCTTATGGAGCGGAAATCCGATCGTTGGGCCTTTTTGAATTTCGAGATCCTTATAATATCTTTCGATTTTTGAAATGGCCTCAAGGATGCGCCAAGCGCGCGACAGGCAAAGAAAATCACTTGCCGTCAGCCATTCGAACCCTGGCAAATCCGTCGCTAGCATCTTCCGTCATCGGTCCTCCTCTAAACGTGGTCACGAACTTTCACCCCTGCTAAATGATTACAAAGTCTTTCTCATCGATGACACTGACAAGGCGGAGTTGTTTAGTGCCTTCTTTGCAAAACACCTTACTACCGAGTCCGATCCGGTCCCTTTCTTTCGATCGCTTTCAGATAGGACACTTTGAACAATTGATGACTCCTCAGATCTCATAAAGAAACACAAAAGCCGTTTGAAATACTCACACTACTCAGGAACGGACGGGATTCCGAATTCGATTATTAAACAAGCGTCCGACCTTCCCAAATTGCTTAGTCATTTATTCTCTGTTTATATTTCAAAAGGATTCTTTCCTGAAACATGGAAGACATCAATTATCATTCCCGTCTTCAAGTCAGGATCTCGGTCCGATGTTAATAACTATCGGGGCGTGAACAAAACCCCGTCTGTAGCAAAGCTTCTTGAAAGAATTATTTTCAATGAAATTCTACTTCTGCCTGGCTAATCGGCTTTTGAGCTCTAGTCAGCATGGATTTTTACCTGAGTGATCCTGCGAAACATATCACTTGGCATTTCTTAATCTTATCACTTCTCTTCGTAATGAACAGCAGTCAGCGGCAGTTATCTACTTTGATCTTAGCAAAGCCTTTGACAAGCTGCCCCAAAGACGTCTTTTAGAAAAATTGGAAGCTCTCGGTATCCGGCCGCCTTTACTCGACTTCATCAGGTCCTATCTATCCAACCAATATCAGAAAATCATGGTAGGTTGTAGCTGCTCGACACCTTACTCGATCACGCGTGGCGTACTTCAAGGCGCGGTTCTGGGTCCGCTACTTTTCCTTCTTTACATAAATGATATTTTGACGGAACTCAGAAATTCGCAAACTTTTATTTGTGCCGATGACCTCAAGCGGGTTTACTGATATTCCAAGGACACCGTATATGCTCTTGCTGGAAAAAAGTAATGCTGATCTACTACACATATCGAAATGGAGTTCCCCATGACAGATGGAGTTTTCATCATGCAAGTGTAGTTTCATGTCATTTGATCCTGCCGAGCTGCCTGGCCGCATAATTTTTCAGAATGGTCCACTTTCAGAATCCTTCGCCATAAATGACCTAGGCTTGATTTGTACAAATAAACTTGCTTTATAATCTATGCAGACAGAATCTCTGCAAGCGTCGCACAAATATGTCGGTCAGCTGGCGAAAATTAAGTTTTAATGGTTTAGAAGACACGAAGCAGGCCTTTGCTTACTTTTTCGCATCAACTCTAGCTCCAGTCTTCCGCTCATTGACATGCTCACACCGAGAGATCTGTCTGATGCCACGCGAAACTACCCTATGATGAAACCGCCGCCGACACTTTGCAGTACGTCTAAGTGCGCCCTCTTTTTTGATTCCGAATTTCCCTTCCTTTGAAATAATCTTCAACCAGAACGTAGGCCATCGCTAGGTTATCGACATGCAAGTCAAAATTCCGTAGGCGCCTTACGCCGTAAAGTATAAAGCCACTATTGGCCGCTTCATTCCCGAACACTCAACGCCATGAGTTTCAGAGGAGTCCCCTGAGATTTAGTGATAAATCAGGCGGAAGACCCCACCTCTATTATTACAACACACTGTTTTGAATTGGTTTCTAAATCTACTGCCATCACTCTTCCCCCATAGCGACGATTTTCGCGGTTCTCTATGTCATCGCTTCATTTCGACCTCAAGCGGTCTGTCGACACTCACGGCGGAATCTTCTGTATTCACCAACTACTAGTAGTTTGATCGGTCTGCAAAGAGATCTCATGTTCATATCGCCCTTGCCCCCTCCGCGTCTGGCCTCGAAGCGGACTGTGACCGATCATGTCTGGTTCCTCTCGTCTAGCCACTTTGACGCGAATAGCCTCATCCTGTGTATGAATTCCGCCTTGACGATGTCCATCTCGAATCCCTTATGCACAACCGTATGCAGGCCAGTCCTGTCTGACCCGCATACGTACCCCTCAAGGCTGACATTTATTTCTGCCGTGACGACGTTCGTTCATAATTCATTATACCCTGCCATATGTAGACCAGTCCTGCCCGCACTTTTGTCCTTTCATGAGCGACAAATTTATTCCTTATAGTTAACTCAATCACTATTGTTTTGTTTATTCGACCAAGGAGTTTGTATTCACTGCTCGCCAACCATTTTTCTTATCAGCTTGCTTATTAAATAAACACAACTTGACTGCTATACAGATTCTGTCTACCTGTTCTAAAATTCATCTGAAATTTACTTTTACTTGCTACGGTAGGACACCCGAGGATCTTTAATGAAACAATTAATTTATTTTTTGTCTCACCCACTAAAGCAATATTTGGGCAGTGGACGAACAACATGTCTGAAGCAAAGGCATCCTATCTGGAAAGGATTTGGTATTTAGAACGGAAAGCTTCGGGGAAGAGGTTGTTCTGAGGGATATGAGTTGCGCCATCCAGGAGTTGAGTGCCCGCGAACCATAGAGGTCGGATGAACCTGTCCGGTTCTGTAAAAATTTTGTGGCATCGAAAGAGACCCGTATGGGTAGAGAGGAGTAGGATTTGGGGGGAAATGACGGGCAGAGTAACTGATTACAATCGTTAACCGGCTGTTTTTTTCTGTAAATCCATAGTCAGAATACCGTAACGTACTCCCTCTGAGGTGAAACTAAGTGCCAATATGAACATATGCATGAGGACCTCATTGACAAAACGACTGTGGAGGGAACACATAGTTCCATCCAGTGGCATGATTGTTAACAGGCTCTTAAATTCAAGCGACATCATGTACCTATTCAGTAAATTTTGATACTTCAGCTCATCGATTCGATTTATTGGATTGGACACCGGGCGAGCTTGTGTTGCGGTGAATTCCTCATACACAAAATTGATCGTGATGGTATCCTCGGTTGGTACAATTTTCGTAGCCCGCATAGTCTGGGGGGACGTGTTCTTACAGGCCCAAGATATATATACCTGTTCCCGTCTAATATTTGCTTTTCGAGTAACGACTTCACCTTTTCCCCAATAAGGTCTTCCAGTGCTTTTTTCATCGTTCCCATGGGTTTAGAAGAAAAACTGACTGGAGTCACTAAATATCGCTTCCAACTTATTCATGTAGTCAGTCTTGTTTAGAATCAGGACAAGGTGTTCTCTGTCAGGTCTCAAACTAACGGCTTCAGAAGCCTTACGTAGGTCATTAAGGGCCGAGAGGCACCACTTAGTTAGTAGTGAGCACTGAGTAATTATTATTTAACAAGGTAAACCCTTCCATTTATCTTAAAGTGCATGATTTCTGTGCCGCCATACAACTTAAGGAGAGGCAGCATGGTCGGATTTGCGAGACAGGGATTCTTCCCCGAAAATCTTGAAAGGTTCTCAGTTGGAATAGCTACTGGACTTTCAACGCACGCTTGAAAACTTCTATAATAATAATTTTTATCAAAGACCCGTCGGGTCTCCGTCGGGTGGTTCGTCAGTTCGTTTGTAAACAGAGCTGTGACTATGCGTTCTGATAAGGTGTTTGTCCGATTCCCGATTAAAGTACTGCGGTAGGAAGTCTGGGAAGTGCTTCTTGGGCAGTGAAATAGCGTTATCATTTGTTGCCTGCAGATCACATCTACTAAGGCTGTTGTGAACCGCCGTACGTTCCCCCAGCATGAATATGTAGTCAATAACTTGTCTGCGGGTAGCGAGTGCACCATTCTCAGATCTTACATTTCAAATGTCCTCCAGGTCTTCTATTGCCTGCTTCAGCTCTGACAGCTGACAACGCAGCCGTCACAATTTGCTGAATTCAGTGGACACGACGTGCTAACTTCCTTTAATATTTTCAGGAAGAAGACTCTGGAATTACGGCGTGAAAGCTGGTCTGTTGTCTGTTACCTATTAGTATATAACTGAGAAACCTTAGCGCGTGGCCCTGTGGCCTAATGGATAAGGCGTCTGACTTCGGATCAGAAGATTGCAGGTTCGAATCCTGCCAGGGTCGACTTTTTCAGTCAGCGAATGCAGTTGAATAGAAGGACTGCGAAGTTACCATACTGTCATTTCGATAGCCCCTATACCATCAGTGTGTCTCGGTCGCCAAAAAACGTCCGGTGTTTTATTAGGAATTAAAAAGTCTGTTATAGATATCAAGGAGGAGTTATTTAGAAGAGTATAACTCATATTACTTTTACCTTCTTATTTGCGCCCATGTGTATCTTGGTCAGTCGTGTCATCCAGACATTCTCCGCATGTGGAACATGTATGCTACTAACGACAATGTCTTTCAGTCGCCGATGAGGTCATCCAACGGATGGGCCTTGCTGGAACAGGAGAACGCCCCAAAAGCCAAGTTCTGCCCTTGTGGCAGTCCGCTGCTTTGTCATGCTGCCCACCTGTCCGCCTGACGCTCCCTGTCGATTCGCTTGCTGGGACGCGCGACGCTTGTCACTAGCCTCGCGACCGATCGAGGCTAATCAACGCTACCCATTTCCTGATTGGCTGGCGACACTGAGGCAGAACGAAGGGCACACGCGCGCCGGGGTTTAGGCACCCCAACGGCGGACACAGACGACTTGCCTGGAGAGACCGCTCGTGGCGACCGCTGGTAAAGTGTTCGTGTACGCACTCCCTCAGCAGTAAATGTTGTCCAACCCAACCAGTCCTCCCTGATGTTTGATTTGAGAATCTTTGTCTTTTCGGTCATACCATTTTGACGATTTGCGACTCCTTATTAACAGCAATCTGCCGTTTTCCTAATGTACGATAGAGCCAGGCGTTGATTATGGATAATTTTCTTCCGGAATTGAAACATATTTTGACACCCGTTTTGAAACTTTTCGGCTGCACAACTTACTCGAATTGCCGAACGGCTTATGAAGATGCACGGTCCTTCCAAGCCGTCACATTCAGCACTCTCAACTCTCTTAAATTCTCCTGCGTTTCTCCTTTTGCGGTTGCGATCGGGCTTACCAAACTGGCCGATGATATAGCTTCTCTCCAGAAGTGGACAGATTATTTTTCATCTCAGAGCCAACCAAAGCCGTTCACCCCCCGTGTCCAGTAGGCACATTCAACCTGTCCAAACACAGCCGCCATCTGCTAGCATCACACCGCGTTTGGTGCTTAAGCCTGTCGCTACATCTCCTCCCGCTCTTCCATCTTCAGGCGGAGCACACGGGTAGAACGGGTAAGCCCGAAGGTCAGTGCAGCCAATCTTCCCGGCAGCTCTAACCCTGGTCGCACATTTTTGTCCGCGAAATTCGGAATGGCAGGCGTTTCTTTGTCGACACTGGTGCACAGCTAAGTGTCATTCTACCCACGGAATCTGCTCGTCGATGTCCAATCCCGGCCTTTTCCCTCAGGTCGTCATCACCTCGCACTTGCCACCATCGGCACCCGCTCCTCTTTCCTAGAAATCGGCCTCCGGAGTCTTTCTCCTGGGGCTTCGTCGCCGCTGACGTCCCTTGTGCCATTCTCGGCGCAGACTCCCTTGCCGCTTTCGATCTTCTGGTCGACTGCCGTCAGTCCCGTCTACGCGACAAGACCACCAACCCCACCGTCCGGGGTATCTCATCCTCCGACGTTCCCCGTCAACTAACCGTCTTGCACCCTGAGCCCGAGAATCCATTTCGGCAACTCCTCGCCAAATACGCCGGCCTCACTCGTTCCAACTGCAGCGCTTCTATTCCATCACACGACTTTGTTCACCACACCTGAACCACTGTCCCCCCCCCATGATTTATCGGCCCCACCGTCTCGCGTCTGCACGTCTTGTCACCACAAAGGCCCAGTTCGAGCACATGCTTCAGATGAGCATCATTCGTCAATCTGAAAGTCCATGGGCCTCGCCCCTCCACATGGTCCCCAAGGCCGTCGCTGTTGGCCGGCGCCCCTGCAGTGAGTACCGGGCTCGGAACAACGTTACTGTCCCGGACAACTACCCTGTCCCACATCTTAAGGATTTTGCCGATGATTTATTCGACAAATCAGTGTTCTCGAAGATCGACCTGGTCCGTGCCTTCCACCGAATACCCACCGCCCCAGAGGACGTTTCGAAGACGGCCATCACCACTCCCTTTGGCCTTTTTGATTTCCTACGCATGCCGGTTGGACTCCGTAACGCCTCCCAGACCTTTCCAAATGTCCGTAGACAAAGTGCATCACGGCCTACCATTTGTCTACGCTTATATCGATGACTTTCTGGTGGCCAGCTGTATCACCGAAGAACACATGGAGCATCTTGCGATGGTATCTGACCGCCTTCGACAACTTGACGTTGTTCTTAACCCGTCTACTTGCGTCTTTGGTTTGCCCTCCTTTGAATTTCTCGCTCATTTAGTTGACTTCAACGGCATCCATCCTCTTTTATATAGGGTTGCGGCTATACGTGATTTCCCACCTCCCTCTTCCAAACGTCAGCTGCAACGATTTCTGAGCAGCCGGTTCCTCCCGCACTATGCTGACACTACCCTGACGCTCACCAACCTCCTCTCGGGTCCCAAAGGTTCGTTCGAGCCATCTGCAGATGCCCTCGCTGCCTTTGACAAGATTAAGGCAGCTCTGGCCGACGCTACTCTCCTGACGTATTTTTCTCCCGATGTCCCAATCTCCCTCATGGTTGGCGCCTCCAATGTTTCAGTAGGCGCGGTTCCCCAACAGCACTTTGCAGGTCACGCTCAACCCTTAGCTTTCTTCTCCAGGAAGTCATCATCTGCCGAGACGCACAATAGCAAATTTGGACGGGAACTCATTTCTGTCTTCCTCGCCGTGAAACGCTTTCGGCACTTTCTTGGGGACAGGGACTTCACTGTGTCCACGAATTACGAACCCCTTTTTTCCATTCCCAAGTCCACTTCTGATAAGCTCAACCCGCGGGAAATTCGCCAACCGGACTACATCCCGCAGTTTACGTCAGTCATCCGACACATCGACGGGCCGCACGATGAGGTGGCTGACGCACTGCTCAGGTCCTCCATTGCACCTTTCCAATTTTCTTCCGGGATGGACCCAACAAGATGGCTGCCGAACAACGCCGTGTTTGGTTCTCCCTGTGACGGCGACGTTCCCGGACTCTAACTCCAGGACCTGCCGCTCACAACTGGCAATGGGACTAGCCTGTGCGACGTCTCCACCACTTTCCACCGTCCCTTTGTGCCGCTATTCCTCCGCCTAAAAGTCTTCTCCTCCCTAAACAACCTTTCTCATGCTGGGAGTCGAGCTACCAACAAGTTGGTTTCCGATTGCTTCGTCGGACCTGGGATGCACAGGGACCTCAAAGCATGGACACGGGCGTGTCTCGGCTGTCAACGGAATAAGGGCCAAAAGCAAAAAAAGCTCCTATCGACACCTTTCCCACTCCAGGTGCACGGTTCAGTCATGTTCAACTGGACATCGTAGGCCCCCTGCCTCTGTCCAAAGACTGTTCTTATCTCTTCACCTGCGTGAGCCGATTCACTCGGCGGCCGGTAGCTATCCCTCTGCCTGATCTCGCTGCCCTCACAGTCGTCAAGGCTTTCCTCAGTCGTTGGTTGCCATTTTCGGTGCTCCCTCCACAATCACGACAAACCATGGTGCCCAATTCCAATGATAATAATAACAATAACAATACTTTTTATTCAAGACTCGTGGGGTCCTTTCATAGCAAGTAAGAATAACTTTTACATTAATTTTAGAATTTTTGACGAGATATACAGAATTTATACAATACTTTATTCATAGTTATTGAATAGGTTGCATGTTACGATGAATTTTGAGCGAGCAGTGAAAAAAAACTCCTAACATAAAAAATGAGTATGACTGGATTAGAACTATAAGAGGAAAAATCTCTCACTCCTTAATATATAAAATGCAGGCAGGACCGGCCTGTATATGGCATTGTATAACGGATTTCATGAAGGGTTAAGTAGTCGGGTCAGGCAGGACTGACCTGCATGTGGTCTTGAGTAAAAGGTTCGGAACCTGCATCATCAAGTCTGAATTCATATGCCGGATGGATCCACTAATGTCTGAGTTACGAATTAAAAATCAGTCTTGAGGCGATAGGAACCCAGATGCGATCGGTTACATTCAGTCAAGTCCATCCGAGGAGGGGGCAAATGAGATGCGACCAGACAAGTAGTGTATGGTAAATAGAGAAGGCCTCGCCAAGTGTGTCGATAGAGCGCATTCTGTGAGGGCACGATGCATGGACTGAAAAATCGAAAAATTAACATTTCTGATGAGGGATCCTAGGAAGCGATGCGACTTACGAAAGAAGGAAATGTGGACAGATACGGAAAGTTAATGGCGGTGTCCTAAATTCCCGGTGGCCCTTTCTCAGTGTCATAGAAAAAGTTGTCCGGGAAGAATGGGGAAAATAAAAGTTTAATCGAGTCAGTATTTAGGTAAAGGCGTAGCCTACTCTTTAACGTGTGTAGATTATCTAAAGATCTTATATTTATTGAAATGTTATTCCGGAGGAAAGTATATCTGGAGGCCAAAAAAGGGAGCGCTTAGAGGTGGAGGAAGCTGGAGGAGGTGTAATCAAGGAAGAGTCGCGAAGATTGCATGAGCGACTATAAGGGGTAATTGCTGAAATCCGGGGAAGTTTTGAACTATTGTTAATGCGAAAAGGGAGACAAAAGCCTGTTTCTAGTCCTCGAACCCACAAAAACTTTATGTCAGTTATCTGGCATCTATCTGATCAAGTTATTTAAGATCTTCGGTAAGATGATTTGTCACTTAACTGAGATAACCTACTGAGTGCTGCTCAACATGGATTACTCAAAGGTCGGTCTTGTGAGACCTGTCAGCTCTCTTTCTTTGATTATGTTCTCCAATCTAGGGACAATGGTTTTTCACTTTACACAGTATATTTCGATTTCACTAAGGCTTTTGATCGTGTTGATCATGCTCTTCTTCTCTGGAAACTGTCTTCTTTCGGAATGGGTGGCAAGCTTTTGAATTTTATATCCTCTTGCCTGCCCGCTCGTACGCAATGAGTTAAGGCTTCCAATGCTATCTCCAACCCCACGTGCGTGAGGAGTGGATTTATTCAGGGTAGCGTACTCGGCCCGCTTTTATTTTGTCTTTTTGTCAACGATGTGCCAGATTTGTTTCAGAATGGTAAGCCCTACATGCATGCCGACAATCTGAAAGTTGCATATAGGTATAAACTGGCAGATCGTGACATCGTACTTGAGCTCCCAAAGAGCGACCTACAGGCTTTTGCCCAGTGGTGCCGCCCATGACGCCTTTCTCTTTCTTGGCATAAATGCTCAGTCATGGTGGTTGGCGACGGCCGCCAACCTCAACAAAGTATTGAATGTAACGCCATAAATGTGCCTTGGGTTATTAAGAATCTGGGTGTATCACGCTCCAGGAGCCTCAATCTTTCGGAGCACTGTGCCTTGATAGTCTCCAAAGCACGTAGAACGACCGGATTCATCATCCGAAACTTTAAAACTAGGGACATTAGAATGCGCCTTTACAACATGTACGTTAGACCTGGCCTGGAATACCTTTCGTTTTTATTTGGCCGGCTGAGCTGAAGAAGATAGAATCCGTCGAACATTTTTTCACCGAGAGAGTTGTAACCCCGGAACACCTAAATTTGTCTTACCAAGAACGTTGTCGGCTTATAGGCCTTGACTCTTTGTTGTTTCGTAGATTACAAAAGGGACTATTTTTGCTATTTAAACTCTTATATAATCACACATTTAACCCACTCACCTCTTTAAGACATCATATCCACCCCCGACGTAACAGTCACCGTGAGGTCTTTTTATTTCTTCCTTTGGCACATACTGTTAAATATCGTCGGTTCTTTTCTGTAAATGCAATTGCTATTTGGAATAAACTACCCAGGAATGTGAAAACTCTGCACAATTTTCCTTTATTTAATAGAGCTATAACTCGATTTTTGTATTCAGAAAAACTTCCGCAATTTTTGAGTGCTGAATTCACTGATCGACTATACCGTAGCTATGGCGATTGCGGTCTCTGACCTTAATGGCCGGTCTCACCGGGGAAAATTTCTTTGGCCAGCAGCGACAGCTGTTCTTCGGCGCCTCTGTTTGTACGAGCCTCAACTTCATAAAAGAAATTGGCGACTGATAATATCCGATGCAGTGTAACCCCTCGCTTCGTGACTGTCGGCATTTTGTGGTCAGCAGTTTTTTCGCCTGATTCCGCCAAACTTTAAAAAACCACCATCAACTTTATATTTCTTCCATTTTGACAGAAATTTATTTCACTGCGGCCGGATTTGTGTTTTACGCTTCCCTGACGATGCCTGTAAACTCACACTGAATACTATTATTATTATTAAAAGCATTTATGTTCTTTAGAATTTTAGCGTGGTCTTCCCGATGAATTATGCAGTCTGCCAGAAAATAGCGCTGCTGAAATGCACGTCTAACAGCATATTGACGAAGTGAGAAATTTTAAGGGGTCTAGTCAGTGCTTGAAGCCAGCTCGGTTGTCCAAATGGCATGGTCGACTGGACAAAGATTCTCAAATCAAACGTCAGGGAGGACTGGTTGGGTTGGACAACATTTACTGCTGAGGGAGTGCGTACACGAACACTTTACCAGCGGTCGCCACGAGCGGTCTCTCCAGGCAAGTCGTCTGTGTCCGCCGTTGGGGTGCCTAAACCCCGGCGCGCGTG